TTCCGATAACCTCTGGACCTCACGAAATTTCCAGCTCTTCATCATCCAGTTATTCCCCATCGGTTTCTTCAGGATCTTATGGCTCTTCAAGCTCTCACGCCGGATTTTCAACTTCGGCGTCGGATAGTTCCAATTACGAGCCAATTTCTTCAGGATCTTACTCGAATTCCGGATCGTCCAGTCCCTCGTACGTGAATTATGTGCCGTCCCATTCATCCGGTAGCAGTTCTAGCTATTCCAGTCCTAGCGTCATTTACGGATCCCCGAGTTCCTCCAGTTCCGGTTATTCTGATTCTGGTTCCAGTTATGCTGCCCATAGCTCGAGCTACGCGAGTCCTAGTCACAGTTACTCCAACCCCGTTGTGACTTATGCTAAAGCCTCCAGTTATACACCCACGTATCTAAGTCCTTCCGGTTCATACGGAACATCCACGGGATCTCACGGAGCTTATTCCAGTGTTCAGAGTCCGAGATACTCAAGACTCGCCGCAATAAAGTCGTATGATAACGCGCAATTGGAAAGCAAAAAATACGACACGATCTCGTACTCGATTCCTAATGGAAAATAAAATAAATTGTTTTATTTATATTTTGTAGGGCTTTTTGCACATCTCACGCATATGTTAATGCTATTGAGCTCGTTTTGATAACAGCTTAGACTTATAATTATGACATACATATTATACGTGTTTGTGGCTTTCGACGAATAAGTTAAGCATCAAAGAGATGATCGCAATTTAAAATTGTCAACTGGCTTTATTTTATGCTGACTAGATCTTGCCATGAGAAATAGCAGTAAATATTTTCTATTGCTATTCAAGATAGAAGGACCACGTATACTGGTATAATGAGAGTAATAATAGCCCAGGCTCTCCAAAGAGTTGCTTGGATATATTTATATTTAAATCTTTTATCAGCACATCTATAGACAAATTTATTCCGTAATTGTATTTAATACAAATTGTTATATATTTATAACACTAGTAAATATTATAATTCTTTCTGTTCATATTTCTTGTATCAATGATAATTGTGATGTTTGTTGTCTAGTTTTATATCTTTTTTGTAATAAAAAAAAGTTAATTCTAATACACTAGAAAACCCCCATTTTAATCTTCAATTTATGACAGCGACATGATCGTTGCGACTGGATCGATGATTAACAATTAACAATTAATTTAGAGAACAACCGTTAAGATCTCAAGAAGCGTAATCTGAATTTTTTGAAATGCAAAAGTATCATCATTAATTTGCGCTCGCATTTCGCAGATTACGTGCGTAAGACGTTCTGCTCCAATTTTCTTCGTTTTAATAAAGACTAAATACGCACATTGACCATTGTGGTCAAAGAAATTAAAAAATTTATTGTGGTATTGATAAACAATATGATTATTATAATATAATTATTGCAATTAAAATTATAATTAGATATATGTATAGTGCGTTGTATGTATCTTTATGTTTGCGATTTATCTGTAAGTAATTGATTTGGAACTAAGGTAAGATAATGCGTATTGAAAGACATTTGAACAGTTTGAACGTTTGAATGGGTTCGGGTATTGTTATCTTGTCAAGATAATTGATGTATCTAGCAACGCACGCGCGACGTGACCCGATAGTGCTACTTTTTTCGCTTTTACTACCATGAAAGTTCATTCGCCGCACGAACGACGACGGTGTGAGAGATATAATAATGAAAGAAATTCGCCCGAGTAAGAACGGGATCACTTTTACTCCAAGGCCGGGACAGATCGGGATGAATAAAGATACCTTTCTAAACCTTTATTTTGTTTGAGAAAGTGGTTGCCAACCGGCAAGAACGTTGACTGGCCGAACACTTATCAAACAGGTTTAACATGATTAATGTAGAAACCCGCAATCTTCAGATCTGCATCCCTTTTTATTTGAATGCTATTAACGGTATAAATAATTATATTACCTATAAGAACAAAATACTATACAGTATAATAATATGATACGCGTTATAGCAATCATATATTTTTAATAAAAGTATATTTTTTACTAAATATTAGTTTATGCGTGTGTTAAAACATATTATTTAATATAAAATAATATAACTAGCGTTATAGCAATCATATATTTTTAGTAAAAGTATATTTTTTACTAAATATTAGTTTGTGTGTGTGTTAAAACATATTATTTAATATAAAATAATATAACTAAATGACATTTTTCTACATATATAACTTATGTATATACTTTTAAGAAATGACTCATATAAATTATGCTTACATAAAAAAAATTAAATTTCATTAAAAAAAATTTAAATGTATAAAGTTATTCTTGATTTGTAATGGACGGCAATGCATATATTATATTATTTATATTAATTTAAATATAACATTGATAAAGCGATATCGACTACTAAAATATCAGGTTCACGATGCATCCATCAATAGTTCGTATGACAAAGCGACTGATAGCTTTCATCAATCGAATTTTTGATTATATTGTACGATTACTGAGATAGCAGACGCCTACGCAAGAGAGCGATTTTAATAAGGCGCCGATCGTGCGTTACTTCTTCGTGTGCACCTGACCTAGTTTCTGCGTCAGGTTCGTGCGTGGATCCTGAACACGAACGCACTTACGCACGCGAGCACGACGACACGAGAGAGCTGCACGCAATTCCTTAATCCTTCTATGGATGGACTACAACTCAACCGATATTGCCCGACATACGACCGTATATCTCGCAAATATATGGAAAATGCACATTTCACTATTTTCCGACTGGTTTTGCGAGCAGCATATTCGTGCTTCACTGTTTCACGCGCGGCGCCGCGAGAGCGGAAAAAGTACGCTCTTACTCTTCGTGAAGGCGTTCCCCGGGTGGACCCCGTCATACACTTTTACCTTGATCGTGGATTGCAAATACCTCTCTTGCCTGACGCAGATTCACTTTCGTGATGTATCGATCCGTAACGTGAGTCTTTTTCTTGAGTATAGTAATTGAAGACTTTGCGGAAGACGGCAGCATTAAAGAAAGATGTATGAAAATATATAAGGATAATTTTTTGAACATAATATGAGCTTTTAATATGAGCTTATAGAAGATTTTAATAAAATTTTAGAGTTAAAAATAGAGAATATTTGTATTAAATATTATTAAAATATTTTTAATAATATGAGAAAAAGTATTATAAAGATATTATATTTATTTATTTTGGTCATCGCAACTAAAAGCGTTAATAATAAATGCAAAATTTTTGCTTTTTTACGACACTTCTTCATTTATTTAATGAAAGAGAAACCGATGATTCTATAGTAATTTAAAGATAAATTTTTTTCCGGATATTTCTGCGACGCAATCTTCCTGAATCCTATCAATCACGTCATTATCACAGGTGTGGTCGGAGCAGTAAGGATTTGTCGGTAGGGGAGACAGACGCACAGGTGAAAGTAAAACAAGTCTTGACGTTTTCAAAGATACGAGAACGTCACCGAGAAAGGCGTTGTTCGAGCGAAAATAAAAAGATCTTTTGAGAGGATGCCGGAGGGTACTCCACTTCCTAGGCCGTTTGATCCTTTACGACCATTACCTTTTGTCTTCCGGCCAGCTGTCTTTAGAGTACCGATCCGGACTTTCGCGAAAATCACGCGTCGCCAAATAAGTTCTTCACAGACTCCTTCTTCGACGCAGCCGACTGGTAATTACGGTCTGCTTAATGATCGTTGGGATCGAGCGAAGGGCAGTATCTCGTCCGCTTTCTTTGTAATGTTCGACATACACGTGACAATCTCATGTCTGTCACTATCGAGTGATCGTTCGCCATTTGACGACAGAACGACATTCTATACATTTTCACTGCGCCACCGGACCGTGCACTATCACTTTTATACTTGTACACATATAAGAGCAGAGAAATGTTAAACTAGTTTCCGCGATTTTCCCGGTGACTAAGTATAAAGGAGAAATTCAATGTCGGCAGATCCATCATTAAAGGTGGAACCGTCGCGTCGGTCTGATCTGTGAAATTGTTGGCAGCCGAGGTGCCGGATGAGATAGCGATTAAACTGTGGAAGAAAGCATAGCTTTTATAGTCATCCGACGACGATAAGCGAATTATAACGGAGATGGTGCGGCTGGTTGGTACAAATTAATAAATTCATTAATTAGTGGAAAATAATTCATTTTTTTAATACTACTAATCTCTAACGTTGTTAATAGTAGTGCCAATTAAACTTGACGTCTAATTCTTTTATACGGTCTAATTACAAACAGCTATTTTTTAAGAAATTTTGTTCCAGTACAGTTTCAACAGTTTAAATAGTTCGTAAATTTTTCTTTGGAATTTATGGAATATACATTTTAATTTTTGTGTCGCAAAAGTTTTTATTTTATTTGAATGTATATATGTATAAATATATTTTGATATAAAACATAAATTACGAATATGTGGAATATGGATACGAAATACGAATGCGTGGTAAACACACGCATAAATTAGTGTGTCACAAAAGTATTTAAAATTATTTATTAAAAATTGAGAAATATTTAGTGATTTTTTTTTGAAAGTATAGCCTATAAATACAGCACTATTAATTTAAATAATTTTTTTATGGTGATTATATTATGACATTACTATATAATTTCTATTTTTATGTAATTATACAGTATTATACAATATTCTATCGGTTATTATAAAAAAAATTAAAACTATATGTCTTGCTACATATAATATATATATATATATATATACGTATTCTGTTTATACAGTATTTATCTCTAATTAATGCAGTACAATAATATAAAATTTCTTTTAATCAATTATATTTTATAAATCAATATAAATAAATCTAATTACAGGTTTTGCTTTGCTTGCTGTTGCCGGCAATTTTTGCCCAAACACGTAAAACTAAGGATCTTAACGATGAGCCTTTTTTACCGATACATCCCGTCTACCCTTACAGCCCTAAGTTAATTAAACGAGGTACCGAGACAGAGTCAACTTCGCAATTAACGTCGGAGTTGTACGCGCCGAAAATCGACGCCAAGGATTCTTACAGTTCTAATTACAACAACAATCACCATAAAGATTCCTATTATCCTAATTACGATCTGTATTCCAAAAACAACTCCCCTTCATCCGTTCATCCCTCGTACAACAGCGACGCATATCCTTACGCCAATTTACCCTACGTCGTCTATAATCCATATTCTACACAATACCCGGTGAATCCTGCGTTGTATCCATCCCCATCTTATCCAAATTATTATTACCAGCCACCCTATTATTATCCTCATTACTTCAATCACGCTTCCCTTTCGCCATTGCCAACGCCGTCGTCAGGCATTGATTATCAGGAAACATTGCAAGACTCCACCGAGACGTCGGAGAACGACAAGCTGAACAAGGACAAGCAGAGTACACAACCGAAGGAGAATGAGACGAATCAGGACGCGTCGACGAGCCAATTCGTAGACGGCGGAAACTACATATCCGGCAACTTGAAGGATCTCGACGGGCAATCTAGCACGTACAAGATAGCCAGTCTGTACAATCAACTCGATGTTCAAGCGAAGGGCCTGCCGATTTTCCTGCCGAAGACGACGTACAGAGTAATCAGCGTGGCGGGACAGCCGGTCGGCCCGGATTACCCGCTGCCCGCGTCGTACGTCAAAGTTCAGCAAATGGAACAGCTAATGAGTCAGACGTTGGACAATTTATTGCCGCAGAAACAAACTGGTCAGTCTTACGAGAACGATAAAGACGTCTTAAGCAGTGTCAACGATGAATCGTACGCGAACCAGAATGCTTATACTCCAAATACGCCATCATACGTGACTCTTTCGGGCGCGAAAACTAAAACTGGTGTAACTTACGTGATAAATGTCGATGGTACCGCTAAAGTCAACGGAGAACGGACGAATTTACGAGAAGCTCCGTCTCAGAAAACTTCGAATAAGAATACAAGATACTTGAGCGTCCATTATGTTCAAAAACCGGTGTCGCAAATGACGTACGCATCGTCTGATAACCGCATCAAGCATCGCGATCGTGTGATCCATCGTCGACCAACAAATCAAAGAGATGACTACAATTACGGCGGCGTCTATGATCAGTCCAACAAACAGGAACAGAATAACGGAAGCTATCAAAATCAATCGGGCTCTTATCAGAATAAAGATTTCACTGTCGCATCTCAGACGCCCCGATCTTACAGTTATAAGTACTCGGCTTACGAATTAGATCAAGCACAGCAACAAGATAAGATCAATCTGGATGACGGTAACTTTGGAAATAAACAATATAATAAAGGATGATATCGTATGATCTACAAATGCGATAGACTGGTTTAAAAAATGGTGCTATTATATATAAGATTGTTATAATTATTTGTTGTTATAGAGTTGTTGAATTGCGGTTATTTTTACTTTTAGGAAACATATACGTAACTATAAAAATTATCTCTAATATTTATACACACACACAAGTATTTTTTATATTTATATTTAAACTATTTACTCTATATATATAGAGAGAGAGAGAGCGTTAAAATTTGATAATAAATAATCATTTTTGTAGCAATTTTCTAAATATATTTCCGTAATAAAAATATTAATTTTGTAATATATAAGATACGCATTTTATATTTCGTACATTTTTATCGATTTGCTAAATCTAATCAAATCTATGCTTTAATTAAAAGTGTCTAACATTATTAATAGCTGCGAATCGAGAACCTAATAAATACCGACGTTCCATATATTTTACTTTCGCATTAGCCACTAAATGAAAGGCTTGCCCGCAGGTGTATAGATTGCCAGTTGATACGATTATACTTATATCACCTCTCTCGATCCTGTTTAATACTTTCTTCTACAGCAAATATCACTTTTATGTTACCGACGAAAATGCCAACGTAAGATGTATATAATATTAATATTAAAATTTACGAAACGCAAGAGAAAAAAATGTGAAGAGAACTTATTTTCTTTTTACAAAAAGGATGTTAGTATTTTAGAATGCATGATAAATTTTTTTTCGAACTCAGAAAATTGCGATGTTGCATCGAGTCTGACCCGGTGTGACCTGACAGATCTACTTGTGAACCTTATGACCTACATATGTATATCTAGTAATTTTAAATACTCTTTTTGCAATCATTCTGATATAATAAACGATCCTTTATGTATCCTTTAACGTTTGCACTCCTTTCTCTCCGTTGTACAACGAACCAGTGTTTTCTTTTTGCGTTTATATCTTCGTACTTTACTTTCGTTTGATGAACGACGGGTTCTTTACTTTTTTCCTGCCATGTTCTTTTCGATGTAATTATACACACATGTCATTATTAACTCTTGCGATGTGCATGAAAATTTAGCGGATTAAGATACGGAAATTTATACGGACGTGGCGGTTTCAAGAATTAACCGTATCATTAAGATAATACGCTTTACGCGCTTGATAATTAATGTACTTATATACGATAGCAAATATTCTCTATTTTATGTCTTCAATATTGCAGATATTGATAAATTTTATGAGAAGTACACAGGCTTTCTAACAAATGATAGATTTAGGTTATAAAATGTTCATATTTATATTCAAGTAATTATTATTGAATTATAAAATGATATACATTTAAAACCATAAAAGATATAGTATTTTTATTATGCAATGAATGGATATATTCGTGGAAAGTTGAAAATTAAAAAAAAAACGTGATTATAGACAGATCACGATAATGCACAATGCCACGATTTTATTTCGAAATTCTACTAGATTAGCTAGCTGTCATACTAATTAATCTTGCATTTGCTAATTAATTCTGCTATGGCCGTTGCATCGCACGGTGAATCTTTTTAGCGCGAGGCTAATTGATTGTTTGAAATTTTGGTCGTTTCTCGTCTTAACGCGAATTATATGAGTCACGGTCATGGCATCTGAGAGCGGAAGAGATCCGGATCATGGCAATGTCTGGTTGATTATCCGATTGCGATGCCTGCCGGCCGCGAAAGGAAAGGAGAAGTGAAGCTGCGAGATCAGTCAGTCCATTCGAATCAGGTCCGGCATAACAAAAAGCCGTAAGTGAGATAAAAAATTTTGTTGATTAATTATTAATAAATTGTTACTCATTTTTCGACTTTCGTAGAACAATTATTGCTATTTATAATTATTTGTTCATACACACTTCTTTTGCAGATATGCTCGAGATTTTTTAGAAACCTTTTTACCTTAAAAAATCGGGGGCTAATAAAATATTATATATAATATTTTTTTACATAATGTAATCAAATTATAAAATGTCTAACAAAAATTATATACTATCAGTATCTTTCTATATAATTTTTAAATATTTTTGTGATTGTAAATTTAAAGTCACACAAAAACGCGGTTCTTTTTTATTTAAAAAAAAAAAAAAAAATAAATAGAAAATGTTTAACAAAAATCATATAATGTATCTTTCTGTAAAATTTTTGGACATTTTTTTATTTTGACCTAGAAACCACGAAATTCTTTTCGTCGGATTTCTTTTTGTCTCTCATAATTTCCAATTATATAGATAGAATCGACATGTTTAACAAAATTTTATGCGGGGTGCAATGTATTTTCTTGCCAATCCTGGCGTGAACGTACATCGCGGCAGGTGAGTGAGAGCTTCGCACCGTTTTACTTTATTTTGTGCATTCTCGTGCGCGCGCAAGTATGCCGATGGTTTAAAATAAAATTGGATGGACCAAGCCCGTTACTTTCTCGCAGCGACTTGATATCGATCGGTAACATACACGGTGACCCGGAAGCTCGAGAGAGGCGCGGTTGACTCGACGCTGAGAGTACGCCGATGTAAATTCTGGAAAATGAGGCTGCAGCTTTTGGCGATGTATGGTAGAAAGTCCCATGCGTACGGATGTGTACACGGACATTCATTACTGTAACTGAAACATTATTTTCTCCTTATGTTTACGAGCCGTCACGCGTCGTGGCAAGCGTTATCTGCATTCCAACGCCAGGAAATACATTATATCGGAAAAAAATGTCAATACTCAGATTAATTTATGTAAAAAATGCATGAGAGAATTATTTGATATCTCTCTACGCCGCTCGCTCTATTCCTTTGAATCTGACGAAAGGCTACATACAAAGTGCAATATTTATCTTTACCACATTTAAAAAATGTTTTGTTTTATTTTTTATTGCATTTTTTCTTTATTAGATTGATAAACTATTATATATATATATGTACATTATATTTTGTTATTAAATAAATTTTTGCACATACTTTGCGTATAATATTTATTAGGATTCTGATATAGCACAACTTGAAGATATAGACATCTTGGATTATTAAAATAAAAAAATAAATTAAATAAATATATTATTTACAGCTCTGTATCTATAGAGTTTTAAACTTTTTACATTCTAAAAAAATGTAAGTAATAATATAAAAAAATAATTTAATTAAATTAATTAAATGCACTTCAAAATGCTATAAGAAAAAGTATATGAAGGAAAGCATACTTTGTTAATTGCAATTTGAGAATGAATGTTTTCTAGTATCTAAGCTATCCATCGATTTTCCAGTGGCATTTTATGAGAGAAATATGCAAAGTACCATCTTTATTTGCACATTATGTTTGTATAATCAATCGAGTGAATTTCGAAAGCGACTAGCAGTGTGGTCAACCTGGGTGAGCATAAAAAAAATTTAACAGATCACTCGATAGACAGGTGATCGTAGGCGAACCCAGCGGTTGAACTCGAGAAAGCGATCAGCCGGAAAGGTCAAATATTTGCATTTTATTTGTCGCTTCTCAAAAGTCAAACCGCGCTCTCTTAGTTACCACGTCGATTTAGTTCACTTCCTTGTTTTTTGTACGTTTCTTTCGTTCTTCTTTTCTGTGCAAGTTTCATCGAAGCGGTATAACGACGGTCGAGAAAGTTTTCCGTTTTAATTGCAGTTAATTTTTATCCTAAGCGCAGCAGCATCGACGATCGTTTGTTGGAGCAGCGTGCGACATAAGGCTTCCATCTATACTTATGGATCAAGGTAGAAAGTCCTGGTCTTTCCCATTTTTTTCTTCTGTTTTGGCAGGTGGAATATATTTCAGAATATCCGAGAAAAGGGTTCACCTTTATGGGATTCGGGATGACCGTCTCAACTTTTACACAAAGAGAGAGAGAGAGAGAAAGAGAGAAAGAGAGAGAGAGAGAGAGAGAGAGAGAGAGAGAGAGAGAGAGTGCAAGTCATTATAAAATCTCCTTTCCATCTTCGCCATCCTTTCCCTTCCGTGACTCTCGACTACATCGATCAACTATTTTTGCCAGAAATTTGTGCAAGAAAATCGGTTTTCTTCCCTCTTTCTTCTCATTCCTTTTGGTTCTATTCTCCATTGTCTATAATAGAATAGAGTACGAGAGAAAGGAAAAGAATTGAGAGAGCAATTTCCGTTTATGAATTTTCAGGAACATTTTACCACGCGATTGTCGTGATAAGCGATAGTCCGCCTGGATGACTTGTCGGTTAACCGCCATCACTTGATTACAATCGAATAAACAGCACGAATGAAGAATCGCTCGAATATACAATGCAATCTTTTACACTCTTTTGTAATATAATCCCACGTATTGTTGTCATGATTACTTTCACTAACTACATCGTTTAAAGCAAAAATGATTCATTGTTAGACAATCTTGGAAACTGCGAGACAAATAAGCTCAGACAATCATTGCTCTTTTAAAATAGAATATCATTCTAGGCAGCAAATTTTAAATGTAAGAGATCACCATAGTTAATAACTTATTTTGATAATAATTTAATAACTTATTTGAGTGTATTTTTGTTCATATTTTATATAATATATTTTAAATATATACATATACGTATATATATATATATTTATTATCAACATAATTTTCGGCAAATTATTTATATGGAATTTGTCTGTTTTACATGAATACCGAAGATTTATCACCGTCTTTGAATTGGATAACGAGATCTCGTGTCCAGATCTCACAGCTCAATCTCGCATGCGATTATTAGGCACGCAGTGGTGAGAATAATCCGCTTTTCCACAAGTGCGTACGCTATTATATCGTTCAATAATCGGAAACCGTCGCTTCCTGCGAGACCACATCGATCATTCTCTCCATTGTTCGACACTGACGTTAGCGTTTGTTTCTCATTACATAGAGTCTGAATTAATAAACGGTAGATTGTATCAAAAATTTTTGATGAATGTACATATCTTGATAATGATGAAACACAAATTAGAATTCTATTAATCATTATAATTCAAATTGTTTTAAAAACCATGTTGTATTATTTATTTATATACAAATGATGTCCTTTACATTCACTGAAGTTAAATTGGGAAAATATTAATTTTTAATAAATATTATATAAAGTTTACTGAGTTTTTTTATATCAAAAAAATTTGAATAATTTTATTAAACAAGAAAATTATTAAAATTAAAAGAAATATTAAAGAAAGGTGTCAATCTCGAAAGTTTTGCACTTTCTCTTAAAATTACTGAAATTAGGTACGGCAAGTTTTTTTTGCTTAGTACATCGTATTCCATTGTAAGTTTTATTTATTTAATATAGGAATTAAAACATACTAAGATTTGGTCAATTAGCAATTTTATGCACTGAATAAGCGAGCGTGATAATTATCACGGTTTAATGACGATGAAAAAACTAGATGTGATTTACGCGTAGATTACAAATGCCGATAATTTTACTACTATCGTCGGTTTATTAACGCACTTTAGTGCAATCTGTAGAATTACCGCGTGCTACGATTGCACGAACGGATATGTGTGTAGAAAGACGATAATCATTAAATACGTGAAGCTCGTTTCTAGCTTGATTTCTTCGACGATATATCACGTTCTCAGGAGATTGCGATTTAATAATCGATTTTTTTCTTCCTGTTAATTTCGCTCTAATGACGCGTCGAAGATGCCGTGTCTGTCTCTCTTTTTATAGAAAAATTAGTTTTCCGCTATCCGTTTGATGAACGCAAAATAAAACACGTTCCAAGTAAAATAACATTTCCTTATTTATCGATCACTTAAAATTATGATTTTTATTTTATGAATTTTTGTACTGCACGATATGAGAAGGTCCCGTAAATGTTCATACATGAAAATATATATCTGAAATTATTCAATTTAATTAATCCATTTAAATAAATTTAATGATCAAAATATTAATATAAGCTAAATATATTTCTTCTAAACTGTCACCTTCTATAATCACATAATATCTTACTAAAAAGTAATAAATTATTTAATTGTTTTATTGTCTCATGTTTTAAAATAATTAAAAAGATATTAAATTTAATTTCTAACATTGTTATACTATAATTTTCAAATATTTTTTTTTGCTTTTTAAATATTTTCGAGATATCAGTTTCTTTCTGAAGTGAGATTCAGTTACATGATTTGAAACGGCGAGGAAGCAATTTGTTGAATATCTTCACTTTTACTCGAATCGCGACGATATTCTTCTATGTGATCCACAGCCGACACGGATTACCACACACGCTTTGATCAAGAAGTGAAGTGTTGCTCGACAGGGGATGCAGCGGGTAGGGGTAAAGGCTATATAAGAAAACACATATCAGCTTCGGTTTTATAGAGTAGAGCTAGGTCCTTGTGTCGTGTTTGTATTTTTTGGTATATTTGCAACATGGTAAGTTTATGTTTTTTAAATGTTTCTACTTATATAATTCAGTGAGATAATATATCATACATTATATATTTTTTTGTTAAAAAAGTGCATTATGTCGGTGAGAAAAAAAGAAAAATTCTAAAACAGAGTTATTTCTATAATAGAATTATATTGATGAAAACGTATTCATACGATAAATTTTCTTTTAAGAAAATCCATATTCATAAAGTAAAATTTTTTGTATAAAATAAAAATAACAATTTTATTTTTATATAGTCAGTGATATTTTATTAAATAAAATATTTTGTATTTCTAACTAAATTTGACATTCGTAAACAATGTTTTTCTTAAAAAAAAGTAATTTGAAATTAAAATTATATATTTTACAAAATATAACTGCAAGTATAATCGAGCGATTCTGTTATAAGTCATAAATAATGAATCGTGCGATTTTTACACGTTTATTGCAATCACACATAAAGTAATCATTTTTCCCAAGCGGTGCCATTAAGTATCGCCAAAATGGCTATTATATATAGCTTCTTTTTGATACATGGCACACTGTAAGAATGTGTGAAAATTCAATTATGGAGAATAAAAAAAGAGAAAGATGTGTATACCTGTGTGAGTATGATATACTTGTCGGGGGAGTGTGGTCTGCCTTGTCCGAGAGGCGGGGCAATACAATCTATATAAGAGTGGTCCATACCGGATGTTTGACCCAGAACTTCGCGTGCAGTGAAAGTGTGCCCGGTGCAAATACGTTTTTGCCGGAAACGATGATGGTAAATGCAAAAAGAATTCAAACAAATATAAATAGCCGATAAGGAATGATTGCTTCATGTATATCAGTAAATCGGTTATTATTATTTAAACATCGTTTATAATACTTAATTTTATATTGTGCTATATAACATGTTTTTGCAAAGCAACTTTGTTAAATTTCATAAACTTAAATGTAAGATAAACATTTTTTTTATGAATTACTATTCTCACTTTTTTGACAGCAAATTATATTGAAATTAATTAAGTTTATCTTTTATTAAAGTAATATAAATATTATTAATATTCTTCAAAAACATTTTTAAATACAGCATAATTTTATTTACTTACGTCCCCAAAAAAATTATTAATTTTTTAAATATTTGAAACAAGTTGATCTTCGTATATGTAATCTTATACTTAATAATCTATACGTTATTGCAAGTTTATGCATGATTAGATGTGGAATTAAAAAAAGAAGGTAAAAAAAGAATGTATTGATAATCGATAGCGATTTTAACTTTCTCTTTTGATTGCAGAAAGTCTATTTAATTTTGGGTCTGCTGGTAACGATTGCATGTGCCGAGAAGAAAATTAATCTAGAAGATATAGAAAGGGATAATCTGAGGACTGAGAATAAAGTCAAGAACGAGAATATCCAGACCGATGAAACGAAATACGCCGTTCAACCCAATCAGCAGCAGTATCAAATACCGAACCAATATAGTACTTTGGATAGTAATTCCGAATCGTATATCCATCCTCAGGGATTTCAAGATGTAAAATATAACGTAAGACATTAACTCAATATTAAAGCATATATAAATTTTTATTTATTTTTATTTTCTTGCAATAGAAAGTTCCCTTATCAAAACATTTTTATGAAAGTTATAATAATTAGATTTTATAATATTATATACATTGTTATTAAAAAAAAATATATAAAAGAAATATTTTCTATACAATATTCAAAAATTAATATAAATATTAGATAATACGAATTTACTATTTTGATGATGTATTACATATTATAAAATAATATTGTTTTCCGTTTTTTTTTTATTTTCCTTATTTTATTATTGCTTTTATTATTATTATTGATTTTATAGCTACCACCTGAAGCATACATTCAACCCAACCAATACGCTGTACAGGAAGTACAATATAAGCAGCCAAGCCAAATTTTGCCACAGCAAAATATTCTGCCAATACAATATTACAGAGGATATCAACAACAAGCGGAAATACCGGCAAAAGGCGTTGCTTCCATCGCCTACGAATCTCAAAAATTTAGTTACCAACCGGAAATAACAGTAGGCAATCACATTCAAAGTATTCAACAGAAAGCAATCACAGAAAAGTATACAAAAGCCGTCAATAAAGGTAAAAATTAAATATATAATATTTTTCTAATATAGTTATTATTTTTATTTTATTATATATGTAGCGCACAATATTTTAAGTATTATAATAATATGAAAAAGTATTTTGATTAAGCCGATTATATCAAATAAATTATGTACTTATGTACTACTAAGTTTATTACAGAATAAATAAAATGTTACAATATATTTAAATAAAAAAATCTATTGTTTAAAAGCTAAGAAAAGTAAAATATTTTATGAACATAAAATTGTACGTGTGTGGTTATATTAATATATATATATATAAAACAAATGAGCATATATGATATTTAAATGCGCTTTCTTATTTGCAGAACCTGTTTATTTCGATGTTCCGGTGACTCAGCTGCTTTCTTATTATCCCCAATTTAATATTAATTCTCCGGAGAGTGAAAAAAGTGCCGGATTGCAACCTCCGTTACATCAGTTAGCCAACAACGCGGCTCAACAAATTTCCATACCCGTGTACGCTCCTGTATATAATCAAAAACAATTAGTCTCTTCTGCAAAAACATCTTATTCTACAGTTGTGCCAACAACATTTAGGACCAAAGTAAGTTTAGATTGCATCTTCGAACGCAGCGCGCGTACTTCTATAACTATATTTTATTTTTATGCAAATAATTATGTAATCACAATATTGCAATATCATAATTTTAACAAGATAAGGAAAAAGTTAAATTTTGTTTTCTGCATTATAAATAAATAAATTTGTAAGTATTTGTATATCAATTAAAAATTGTTAGTACGTTAATTATTGAATTTATTTTATAATCATAAATGTTTCAGGCACCAAAAGGATCGGCTTATACTCTCCCGATTACCTCAAAGAAGATTAATTTATCCACACTGCTGACGACACCCGTGTACGTGCAACCCCAACAATCGCCTGTTAAAGAAAAGACGCTGTTGCACACGCAAGCTTACATCACGCCGTCTCAACCACATTATGTGCAGCAGTTAGTTTACATGCAGCCTGGCATAGTTTACACCGATCCTGCTGCCGCTTACAGCGATATTTACGCTCGTTTACCAGCATACATTCAAGACAATTCTCTCCCTGGACAAGTGAATCAATATCAAACCCAACAACAATTGTACGTTACACCGACGATTGTCGCCGAAGCGCCGAACAAAGTCTTGCAAGAACAAATCAGCCAAGATCTTTCACAAAATTACGTTAAGGTTTGTATGATAGACGATTGAAATAAATTTATCAAAAAACTGCCGTTTTATTCGAACAGAATAAATATTATAACTTGTGTGATTACGTTATATTAATCAAATATCAAAGTTTTATAATGAAATTGATAGTTTTACATAAAAATAACACTTTAATTTTTCTCTCACTCCCAAGAGGGGTTATATAATTGAAGATTCAAATTACGCGAGCAACATCATTAACGGGGTAATTTGTTAACCTAATTAGCATAATTTAATTACCTTTTTTTTTGCTGTACGATACTTCCAATTATATTGTACATGCTTTTTACTCTAATATTTTTGCATTTTAATGGATAAAAAACGCGCGTGTACTATTTTTCATAAAATACTTTAGTATCTCCTTTATAAAAATAATAACAAAATTATCATATGCTTTGCTATTTTAATAATTCTTTTTTTGTTTTTCACTGAAGCATTTATTGCTTTTTAAAATATAAAATATCTTATATAAAAAAATGTTATTATATGTTAAACAAATTTGAAATATTTCATAAGTTAACTTAGCTCTTTTCTCTGGAGTTCTCTTTTAAATAGCTTATTCGACGATATAAAAGTTCTAATTTTATTTAAATGTGTTCTGAGAATAGGTACCTGAAGAACCCAAAGCTCACTTCGTGCCACCGCAATTGCCTCCACAGGACTTCAAATCCGGCATTACGCAATTGAAACCTGTTTCTATCGAAGACGAACAATCTTTACCGGTGCAAGATCAGTCTTTGTCAGTGCAAGAGCATTCCTTGTCCACAGAGCCAAGGTCGCTACTTGACACGTATATTCCGAGTAAAGTCATCGCTGCGCAAGATACCGCCAGGTATAAGAACGAGAATAAATCAGACGTACTAAAATGTATCTGTAAAAATATTACTACCTAATTACTTGCCACAATTGCCGTTCTAGGTACAGAGAAAGACCAATAAAACTGGAAGGGGGTTTCCTTCCGTCAAAATTAAATTTTGCGCTTAAGAAGCGCAAATCCGAATGACGAGGATCGCTATGAGCGATATGACGATTGACGAATGTCACACAAGGGTCAGTACAGCATAAAAACATGATTATTAGTAATTATGACGACTGAGGCATATTCGTGGACGACATCGAAAATATGCTGACTGCAAATAGAGATCAGCGGCATCATCGCATCTAGTCTTTCATTGAAGATTTTGCAACTTTTTATACTGTTTTCTTTTAATGTTTATAGAGACGCGCTTGGTATCTGTGTAAACGGCGTATCTTGTGTTTAAGATTTTTCAATAAAATTTAAAATGACAAAAAATAAGTTGATGAAACCTTCTCTTCAGAGCGTAGATTTGTAGAGACATATGAGAGTGTTAGTGTAGTAATACAAATAATTATATTTTATATAATTATATATAAATTAACATAATGTAATTAATTGGATGCCTTTATTTCTTTCTATTACAGCATACCATGTCTTTTAATTTGATAGGATACAGACATATTTTGTATGTTTTTTAATGTAATGAAACAACATGTATATTATAATTATAGTTAAGTAATGAGAAACTTAATTTTGTTTTTATATTCTCTGACATTTTTTGTTTATTATTATTTGCATTTTACCATTTATTTTTTCTTTGATATACATTTTAATTACATTTTTATAGATAATTTATATATATAATCAAATCTAAAATAATTTTTATATAGATTGATAATTAAGTTCCATCATCATTATAACCATCATGACTACAAATTACTTAAATTTACTTTTTTACACGTGCAAGCAATTTTATTTTTAAGCAATAATGAGTTTTTGATACATTTTTCTTTTATTTCTATTTGAATTATACATTTTTAATTAAATTCTATTATTTTGTCATTACAATATACTCTTTCTATACTCTTCAGTTTTGTATATTATACCAAAATGATTCTAATAACAAACATAATATCTAACAATTAGCACATATAAATAATAACGACATTTTTATTTTTATTTTGAGAAACTATTTATTTTTATTTATAAATAATATTGTTTTTAACTAAAAATTTTAAATAAAATTGTACTATAATATTAGTCAAAATATTATTTGATCTTCATTCAATGTCTGATTCATTAAACAAATTGCTCAAAAATATCAGATTAATTAATTTTCTTAATATTATGAAAATTATCAGCAACTTTATAAGTCACTTTTCATAGTGCAATTTTTTTAGATTTAAAGTTTTATTTTTACACAAGTTTATTTTATAACAAAAAGAAGGTATAATATATATGTTTGTGTGTGCGTGTGTGTAAAGGGTTTGCTGTAATTTCATCGTAAAAAATATATTAAGATGATGAAGTCAATTTAAAATAACAATGGATCGCGGCAGAAATAAATAAATAAAATTTATATTACTTATTAGGATTAGAAAGGATAGATTAAAAGATTATATAGCTTGATCAACTATAAAAATTTTATTTTATCGAGTGAGAATGTGTGTGTGAAAACGACAAAGTTATTTATCGGTAATTAATATGTCTGAGAGTGTATAAAATTATCGATTAGTGTTGACAGTTTATGACTGTTTATGACAGTTTTGCGATCTATGTTGACAGCCATGCATTATGGGAGGAGTATCTAATGTCAAGGAGAGAACGTATGTAAGTATTTTTGCGAGTATATCGGCAGAGAATCCTTTATACGAGAAAGCTGATGTCACGGAGACAAGTCCAACGGTGTAGGCGCACCGAGATTAACCGCTTAAAATTCTGATTGCCACTTTGTCATTAATTTTGCATTATGCACACGGGAGATGCTTTCTTTTTCATAAATGCATAATTTACTGGACTTTTCTGCAGATACATTCCGCGATATGTCCAAGCTAAAATGGAATTAAATGTGCGCTGCATTTCGTACACATTATACTTTTAAATACATGATAATATATTCTCATGGGCTGTATTCGTTATGAATAACGTAATTTTTCGAAGATGGCTGAGTTCTGTTTTTTATAAAGATGTATTCTATAATAGATCGATACTTCGTTAACGAGCGATCTATGGAGTTCTATGACATCTCCTTTTTTCTTAGATCCGAGACTAACTTTCTTAATCTGAATTAGAATATAAAGAATTTACGGCTGGTTAGTTTGCGTAATAGAAAAAGGCTTGCGTGATCAATATGTTCTGTCAGAATGGTCAATATGGTCTGTCAGAAATCACTACGCTACTGGCAGGTGTCTTCCCGTATCGAACGCGAATAGCGTTCGTTTCGCTGTGGTGAAACTATAATGATGGTATCTCTCTCACACAAGAAGCGAGGGCATATAAGGTGGGATGTTCTGGCCTCAGCTTCATCAGTACCAAACATACACGACAAGTTTGCTAAGCCAGCAGGTTTAAGGTCGGCCGTCATGAGTCTTGCTAGAGTATACGTAAGTACTTGAATCAAACTTATCTCCGATATTTAGTGCCGTGCAGGAACTTCTCTTCGTTCAAATCCTTGTTTCGCATCTTATTAAGTAATACTAGTGCTGATTAATATTGAGCGTGTTTGTTATCGTGATATAAATTATAAATTAATTACGTATGTGTGTGTCACGATCTATTAAAAATTACGTTTAATAGAAATATGGTTCTTTTTACGTTTATAATCTCTCTACACTTTTCAATAATTGAAAACTCTTTCTCTCTTTCTGTCAAGTATGTAATGTTTTATTAATAAAATTAAAATTTATTATTATCTTTCCGCGCGCGTTAGCTATTTTAATTAATATTACAATTTGCTTCTAGAAATACACCATAACTTCGTATATTGTATTGATTTAATAATATGGAAAAGTATTATATGAATAAAAAGTATTATATGAATGCCACATCTTTCTTTCTGCAATTTTTTTCTCGTTATTGTAATATATATTTTGTCTTCTTCATGATTATAATATTTTATTCTTTTCTTTTTTACATAAAAATTATTGAAGCAAGTATAATTTAAATTTTATGCTATCTAATACAAACACTCTTTATTAATAATCCCTAATAATAAAACGTTTTATAATTATAATAACAGAATTGCTTTTTTCATGATAAACCTCACCGACGCTGTTATATGTAATCGAAAAACTGACGGTCGCGCGTGAATAATACGTTATTGGCAGGATTGATCGCGCAAAATCCTTGTTGCAGCTGTTCTATAGGAATTTATTAATCTCTTCGATTGAAGGTTTAATACTGAAAATCTGTGGGGAATATTTTAACAGAAATTCGGCGACCGACATACGCTGTTATTTTTCAATGTATAATAGCTTCGAAAAATTCTTTTTTCTCGATCGCACGCAAACGTTTCCTGGATCCGATCGGACATAATTGCGGTGAAAGTACCTCGGATCTTTTTTTATGTCTACAGTCGCGATACGAGGAGGCGACGATAAAGTAGCCACGGCAGATGTGCTCTTGAATAAGTCAGTGAAAGTCAATGGGGATGCATCATCTCTTTCTCTCTCTTTCTCTTTTTCTCGATTATTCATCGCGAGGAGGATCCGATCGCGATCTTTTCGGCATTAGGTAACGTGCGGTTTCGCATCGACGTAACCATCGAGAAGTCGCAAGATCGGCGTGAAATCTGCCATCTCTCCGATTGCAACACGATTGATCGTGTTTTTACATTTCAACCGTCGTCAATTCGATCGACGCGTTGATGAACGGCTGTTTTTGACGGGTCGCGCACGCATCCTTCTTCATTCATGTCGCATGCTGAATATTTATTGGGTCATTAACGCCGGAATTGCAGCGCTGGAAGCAGCCGGCATGTTTACATTTGGAAAATGGGAAGGGATTTGATTGATACGATTTGTTTGAAAACATAATACTTTGTCGTTTTTGATGTTAAAAAATAGATATGATTTATAATTATGAAAGATTTATAATT